TTTTTACTGATCGAAAAAATAGACCCATAGGTGATGTCGAGATCACAGGAGTGGAAGGGGAAGAGAGCAATGACGCACCCCCACTACCAATGATCCAAACCGATGAGGACCTGGACGCGGATGCTGAAACCATTGACGAAATGGAAGATGATCCCGACGATTCCCAGGCCAACGTCAACGACGACGAAGAATCGGAGGTCAACGAACCGAATGAAATAGGCGTTGAACCGAAAATCGAAACGATCGAACCGGTTACCCAGCCTATCGTTGAGACGGTAGAGGAACCGGAACCCACTACGGACCAACAGCCCCTGGAACAGATCCCAGGAGTGGACGCTGAAGCCCAAGTGGCACCTGAGCAAACGCCAGGAGTGCGCCGGTCCAGTAGAGTGAGGACACAAGCAAAGGAATCATATATTCCCAGCTTTGACGGAAAGAAGTATGAGACGCCAAACGTCCATCCAAGTGAACGTGTCTTGCACCCAGATGCACACATGTTCTACACACAGGTAGACGAAGAACCTGATGTGGTAGCAGCCATCATGACACAGTTGTCATTGAAGGCTGGACTCAAGGAGTGGAAGGACAAAGCGCACGATGCAGCCTTTGTCGAGATGAAACAGTTACATCTCAGGGATACCTTCCGTCCAAAGAAAATGGAAGAACTCAGCGAAATGGAACACAACAGTATCCTAGAGTACTCCAGCCGCTGCTCAAATTGCTGGTTTCAACCCCAACACCAAAGCCCAAGACTACCTACATCCAGGAACAATCCAAAGCCCAATGGCAATGAAGGCCAAGGCCTCCAAGGACCCAGACTTGCCATCTCTCAGGGACTCACTATCAGGTCCATATGCTGAAGATTTATGGACTGCCATGCACAAGGAGATCACCAGGCTTGAAGGTAAAGGTACTTGGGAAATTGTGCAAAGAAGCTCCATGCCGAAGAACTACAAGGCAGTCCCTGGTACTTGGGTTCAGCGCATCAAACGACTGTCTACTGGGGAACTCAACAAGTTCAAAAGCAGATGGTGCTGCCGCGGTGATCTGCAGCCTTACGAGGGAGTGGCCTACAGCCCCTTAGTTGGATGGCCAACTGTACGAGCTGGACTATTGCTTGCAGCTGCCCATGGTTGGACCTCCCGGCAAGTTGATTTCACTCTTGCATTCTGCCAGAGCCCACAGCCCAAAGAGAATCCTCTCTACATGGAGCTGCCCCAGTACTACAAACCAAAAGAATATGAAGATGAGGATGTTGTTCTCTGTTTGAAGAAGAGTATTTATGGGCAAGTCGATAGCCCCAAGCTATTCTATGAACACCTTTGCCGAGGAATTGACAAGCTGGGATTTGCACCAGCTGACTCTGACCCTTGTCTGTTTATCCACAAGGAGCTCCAAATCATGGTGCTCAACTACTGTGATGATCAGATCTGGCTCAGCCCCGACAATGCTCTCATTGAAGAATATGTCTCTAAGCTACAGCATTTAGGCTACGATCTCACCATGGAAGATGAGGGAGACATCTTTGGTTTCCTGGCCATCAACTTCAAGCAAGTGGGGTCTTCTATCGAGCTAACTCAATCTGGACTCATCGACAAGGTCATCAAGTACACTGGAATGTCGGATGCCTCCACCAGGGACACTCCAGCAGCTCAAGATCCCCTTGGTACTGATGCTGATGGAACTCTGTTTGATGAAGAAGGGAGCTATCCTGCCGCTGTGGGCATGCTTCTCTACTGCTCGTCCAACACTCGCCCAGATATTCAGTTTGCAGTGCACCAATTAGCCAGGTTCAGCCACTCCCCGAAGAAGTCTCATGGGCAAGCACTCAAACGCATCATCCGCTACTTGATCCAAACTCAAGACAAAGGAATCACCTTTCAGCCCAAGTTGGAACAAGGTCTTGACTGCTTTGTTGATGTAGACTTTGCTGGCCTTTATGGTTACGAGGATGAACAGGATCCGGTATCTGTTCGCTCACGCACTGGATTCATCCTCACTCTGTTTGGCTGCCCCATCATCTGGTCCAATAAGCTCCAGACCGACATTTGTCTGAGCTCCACTGCTGCTGAGTATGTTGCATTCAGCATGGCAATGCGAGAACTCCTTCCAATGAGGGTGCTGCTCAAGGAAGTTGGGACCAAACTCGGGCTTGATCCACTTGCCAAGAGCATGGTGCGCTCTACCGTCTTTGAAGACAACCAGGGATGCATCAGTCTGGTCAACGTTCCCAAGATGTCCCCCAGGAACAAGTATTTGGCCCTCAAGTACCACTTCTTCAGGGGAAACATCAGGGAATCCAAGGGTATTGTTGCCAAGTATATCAGCACCTTGGAGCAGCGTGCCGACATCCTGACCAAAGGGCTTCCTCCCTCCCAGTTTGTGGTCATTCGGAAGCTTCTCATGGGATGGTAGGCTACATAGCCATAGCTGCTGTATGTTTGCAGTCATTGAGTCCATTCATCAACTGCAAGGGAGTGCGACGATAGTGCTCCAGTCTCGAATGGCTCATGGTATCTTTGGTTGTGCTTGCCACTTTGGCAACAACTTTGTGCATGAAATATTGCACGATGGGCATCTTTGTCCACCTAGAAATATCTAGCTATAATCTCTGCTCAGCCTCAGTTATTTGGAATTGCCAGTATTGTCGCTATTCACATCATAATTCTATAGCTATAGTAGTTGGTGTCCCTAGGAGACGAGGTGATCGCAAGACTGTAGCTCCACAGTAGCTCTACAATAGCTCGGGTGATTGAATCCATGCCATCGTTCAGATCATACGTGTACATCATGCATCCATACTGGTACGGTAGAGGACTGACGTCAAGAAGAGCGCTGCAGTCATTCTCATGATCTCTCTTTGTCGTGAAGTGGATCGACGTCTTGAATAATTGCAAAGGAGGTTAGATGTTCGTACGGTGGCCTCGAGCTATTCCTGTTTCAAAACGAAAACCACAGCTCCAAATGAAAAACCAGAATGGCAGCAACACTATTATACGATCTACTGTGTTTGGGAAGCAGTTCCCTTTATGGAAACGAATCGATTCGGGGTAGATGCCATTCTGGCACTCAAGAATCAAGACAAGCCTTCCTCTTTTCCGGAAATTTGCGGATACGATTTTTGTGGCAAGTTCGTGGGTGGGAGCCTACAATAATGCATGCGACCCTGATGCGAGGAGAATACAGTAATTCGTAGCGGTAATAGTTTAGTTACGATCCCAGGACAGGATGGAACGATCTATACGACCGTTTCCGTTGGGAGCTCGAGCTGCTACAACAAAGTCGAGTCGATGGAACTGATCGATTTCGGACAGAAGGGACGACAATACAAATTGGAGGATCCACTCGAGATCTCCGGTGTGCATAACTTTTGTCGTGAAGCATCCTCTGGTTGCCTGGTGGTGTTGACTTTCAGTGACTTGACGACCTTTGTTCAGAGTATTGACAGATTTTTAGGGCTGGAGTTCATCGAATAGTATGTGCTACTACGGTATGCATGAAAGGTTCTCCGCAGCAATTGACATGGACAGATCGACAGATCTATCGACGGTTCGAGAAGAACTCGGCGATGGTAATTCACGCCATCGATCGGCAGTGCAGCAGAGAAAACTTGACCAAGCATGCCGACTCGACTCCTCCAACTTTTAAAATTAATAGCATGAGTTAGACGAGTTGACTACGGGGAGGATGTACGGTACTGGTACGCGTTCCAGATCTCGAGGGGGAGGATTGGTAGCAGACTTAAACTTACCTCGACCGGTATCGGTGCATGACTGGGGCTCTGCCTGTGTTTGGCTAAGTACCGGTACATGTACTCATCTCATAATCGGTACTGTCGTGCTGGATAGTAGTTGCATCCATCGATTGATCATGACACAGCATTGTTGTCGGTCAAGGTCAAGGTTGAGGGCAGCGATGATGTTGTCATAGAGTGGAGGTCGCAGTGAGTCCACCAGGGTACGGTACATGTACGGGTTCAAGTTACTTGTACGTCATTTCAGTCAGAGTGCGCACGCAATGCCAAAACAACAAAGAAGGACTATGGGAACCTGTTGAAGTCAGAGAAGCAAGCGGATTTAATCGTCATTTGTGGTGTACTCCAGTACTCCAGTACATGACAGACATGTGACGTTGTCTTATGTCGATCAGACAGTTCTCAATTGCCTCAATATCTAGACATAAGCGGCACGACATATTGTAAATCCTGCTGCATCACTTGAGTGTTCCTCCTATCGACTGAAGGCCATTGTGACTTTTCTTCAATTAGACACTCATCTCCTCCTCGCGCCAGTTTGCCAGTTCGTTCGAACAAAAACAAAAAACAAAAAAAATCAGTAGCCCGTATGTACTGTTTCTCGAAGCAAAAGACTAAGTAAGTCGAAATGCAAATTCCCCCTTCGTGTCCATTTGCCACAATATCCGTCCCGACTCCATCAATCGAGGCTGTCTCGGTACATGTACATACCGGCGACAAGTCATTGCTGCTTCTACATTTAATCCCCGCTTCGTGCCAGAGTTCGCACCAGAAGTCATTGCTACTAGTGTATCTCTTAAAACATGTTTCTCCAAGTCAAGTCAAGACACTGCAAATTCCACCTAAATTCGTCGCCCCGACCATACCGTACATCCCACTAACCGCACACCGCCGCCTATCGAAGCTCACCCTTCCTCTCAAAATCAGTGGCTCTCCCGATTGATCCATTCAACGATCGTACCTACAACCTCCATAAGCTATCTTTGTTGGGTAAAGATAATTGTGCTTACAACTAGTGAGCCGCTACAAATCATTTCGCTCTCTCATTGGTCATCCTTCTTCGCATCATTCAACTGACCAGTACATTGTTCTGGCGCAACCGCCATAACACAACTCGATCCGGATCAATTCATCCAACAACAGAACGAAGACCGATCAAAAGCCTGCTACGAACAAAAAGCCACCCAATCATTAGGATACCAGTACCCATCTCAGTGGATTAATGAACTCAGTGGAGGAAGGAAAGATGAACACGGTGGAGGAAGAAGAGATTGCCGTATTTGGTCCAGATTCTGCTCCTCCGTCGTCCTTGAGGGAGGGTCCTGCTGATCCTTTTCGGTCTGAATTGTTGCTATCCACACACACCAGGACCGCTTTGACTGATCCGGAGACAATAGAATTGACAATGATGGAAGATGGGAACAAAGCACCAGCTAATCCGGACAGTGACGATGACAGTTCAATGGATGACCCATTGAACGACCCCAAGAATACTTATGCGGGCGACATGAGCGAGTCTCCCAGCAACTTTGAATTCTCCTTTAACAGTGCTGATTTGGAACGAGATATTCGAAACAGTGCTGTGCAGACCATTGCTTTTGAGTATGTATATGGCAATGCCTACGACGTTGTCTACAGCATCTGCACTTGGCCAAGGCTCCTCCTGAGCTATTGCCTAAATTGGTTTCGATTTGCCAGAAAGAAGGATGATGATTCTGATGGACCAGTGCCACCCCAGGAGGATAATCGTGTTCAAAACATGTCGATTGCAGCTTCCCAATCAGCAGCTATTGGCATAGGAGCAGGAGTCATGGCTGGTCAGTCGGCTGCCGCCGGAGCCGGGACTTCGACACTGTCGGCTGCTGTCTCTTCTTTATCAGCACCTACCATCATTGGACTTGCTGTGGCAGCTGCTATTGCAGTGGTTGCTACTACAACTGGTGTTGCCACAGGAATTAGCAATGTGAGTGACAACAATGCTACTGGTCATGGTGGCTGCAATGGCAATTTGGGATCCAGGGATGTCAAGCAAGGTGTCATCCAAATAGTATTTTCTTCATCAGAAACTAACAGCAATGACAACAGTACCATTGGTACTCCTTCCACAAATGCATTGCTGCTGGAGAACAAGGAAGAATTGGAAGGGGTTTTTGCACAGGTTTACCACAAGGTCACTGCCAATTCCACCAACAACACCAACAGTGAGACTGACCGGTGCGATTTACCCTACATTCCAGAAGATGGTGTCCAAATGATGCAGGTTGAGCCATCTGAAGTGGAAAATTTCACCAATACTGTTTGGTTTGCCGATGTTCATTGCGTTGGATGCTCTGACACAGACCCACTTTTTGGAACCAGCACCGATCCTGGTAGGGCTGTTGATGATTTTGTTGACCAGTTCACCCAGGCAATAAAACCCATCCTTAGGACTGGCAATCCAGAACAAGACAACCTGCTGCCAGCAGATCAAGAACAGCAGGATTCACCAGTCGATATCCTCTTTGTGGCGCTGGTTGACCCTATTACAGGAGAGACACTACCAGATCAGACACATCAGTTAGGACCTGGTGATCTGATTCTTGAACTGTTGCCAAATATTGATATTTTTTGGAATAGTAACAAGAATGATCGTGAAGAAGATCAACTAGAAGTTCCACAGGTGCCAACTGCTTCAGCGACAACAGCTGCTGCTCCCAAAGCCACTGCGGTTAAAGTGTCAAACCTTACAGTCAACACTCAATCCAATGCCCCTGTGCAACAAGATATAGCAACCATCTCTCCTGGACAAGAGTTGGTAGCAACAAATCCTGCAGCTGTTGCACCCACAAATGCGAAACTCCAAGAGCCAAGTCCTATGCCAGCAACCACAAGTGCTCCAATGCAGCAAGGCCAAACATCTATTTCTCCTGTGCTAGCACCATCTGCTGTATCAAGTCCAACACATTCCACAGCCAGCATGGAGCAAGCTTCAAGCAATGATGACCAACAGCAAGCAACACAGCCAACCAATCAGAAAAACTCATTCCCACCCATTTCAGCACTAAAAAATCCTGCACCATCCTTTGTGGTACCAGCACCACCATCAGCTGGCAACCCGCCATGGATTGTGGGTCAACCAATGATGCCTTCTGGAGATGACAGCATGCTGTCAAGCAGCACAACAAAGAGCCCATCACGAGAAGATATCACCACACCTCCTGCCACAATTTCAGCTGTGTCCAACAACCCGGTTCCGGTTCCTCTTGGTGGTTCCAAACCAACATTTCATGATCCTGTTGCGCCGTCTAGTGTTGTGTCAACTCTGATCCCAAACGCTACAATACCACCATCTTCAACTTTGCCAACAACAATTGCAATTGTTCCAACAAGAGACATGCTCTCACCAGAGTCATGTGCTGGTATGCGGATGTTTGCTGCAACACTTTCATCATCAGTAGCTTGCAGCAACATGAATGCAGACAGTGACAATGGAAGCACAGATTCCTTGGTGGTGTCGTCAAATATGGGCTCGTCATACCCAACTCCAATCCCTGCAACATATACTCCTACCCCTGAACCTACCTTTGAACCAACGGATAGCCCAACCATGTCAAGCACACATCAACCAACAGAAAAACTCACCAATAGCCCTAGTATTGAAGTGACAGAATCACCTACTGAAAACCCAACCACCAGCCAACCATTGGAACCTACAAGTCTGCCAACAAATTTTCCACCCCCCCAAGTAAAAACTCCAACCCCCACAGGGATTAACCCTTCAGTGGAGGAGGACTACTTCATTTCATTTAGTGGGCCAACGACCGGTTGGACAGGCCAAGAAATGATGGATGCATTTGTGGAGGCATACGGCTCCCTGCCTGGCTCTGATTCCACCATCGACTTGATAGAGGCTGGTCAACCGGTTGGTACTCCCGGTGGCTTCTACCTTGAGTTCACGGTGACCTCCAGTCCTGGGGCCTTGGACGAGGACCTCACAGCCTTTGAGGTTCAGTTTATTCAAGACTACAATGCAGAGATCCAAGACATAGAGGCCTTTGCCTTGTCTTTGAGCATGTCGGCCCCAAGCAGCGGTCCATCAGTGGAGGAGGACTACTTTGTAACGTTCAGTGGGCCAACCACTGGGTTGACTGAGCAAATAATGTCCTATGGCTTTGTCGAAGCGTACAAATCCCTTCGAGGCTCTGGTTCATCAATTGAAAGCATTGAGGTAGGAGAACCTGTTCTCACTTCAGGTGGAAGTTTCTATGTTGAGTTCACGGTGACCTCCAGTCCAGATGCCTTGGATGAAGAACTTACCACCTTTGTAGGAGACTTTTTGGAGTGGTTCAATGTGGAGATCAATACTGGGGCTATTGCTGAGTCCATATCCTTCTCTTCATCCTTGGACCCTCAGATTCGTTACTCACCATCCGCAGTCCCCAGTGTGCATCCTAGCACTTTACCCAGTGCCAGTCCCAGCAACAGCCAGGCTCCATCCAAAGGCCCTAGTTCCCAACCAAGTTTGTTACCCAGTTCCAGTCCCAGCGAGGCTCCTTCATCAAACCCATCATCATTACCATCCACAAATCCAAGCTCTGGTCCATCCACAAATCCTTCCTTATCTTCTGCACCCTCATCAAGCCCTACAATATTGCCATCTTCAAATCCAAGCTCTGTTCCATCCTACATGCCCTCTTATTCTGCCACACCATCTACACATCCCAGTACTGGTCCATCCGTAGCGCCATCTGGTGCTCCATCATCAAGTCCATCACTGTCGTCCCAGCCATCTGTTCGTCCATCAGATGCTCCATCTTCAAATCCTAGTCTTGGTCCATCCAATGTGCCATCCACAAACCCAAGCTCCAGTCCTTCCGGTTTTCCATCCACAAAGCCTAGTGTCGGCCCCTCTTCTGTGCCTTCCACAAGCCCAAGCAACTATCCATCACTTGAACCATCCACACTCCCAACTGGAAATCCATCATTAGAACCTTCTTCACTCCCAAGCACCAGTCCTTCTGGTGTCCCATCCTCAAGTCCTAGCATTGCTCCATCCAATTTTCCCTCCGCTGGCCCAAGTCAGAGACCAACATCTGTGCCATCTGTAGTGCCATCACCTATGCCAACAACTTCTCCATCTGAATTCCCTACAAAGCTACCCACCCATCCACCAACACCACAGCCTACAAATCCACCAACACCACAGCCAACCAATCAACCAACGCGACAGCCTACAAAAGCCCCCACTACACCACCAACTATGCCCCCAACTCAATACCCAAGCGAGACTCCATCAGAAGTGCCTTCACAGTCACCCACCACAGCAGTGGCACCTTCACAGTCGCCCACCACAGCTCCCACAAATCCACCGTCACCTGTGCCTTCTGTCATGCCAAGTTCCATCCGTAAGTTATTTGATACAACTCTGATCCAATTTAGGGTGTTGTGTGTAGCTCACAGGTTGCCTTCTTTTATCTATTGCAATTGAAGTATTTGGTGACAAGACTTCCTTGATTGCAGCTCTAGAGCAAGGTGACTACTCACCTTCAGGTCCTTACGGTAATGATTGTTGTCGTGCAATGGTCCGCATCCATAAGTACACCCTTTGCCTACTCAAAACGTTTGCTTTTTGTGCACCATCACAAAATAGGGTCAATTCTGTCATGGAATGTACAGGCAGTTGCTGACTTTGGTATGTGAACCAAGAACGCCCCCTATTCCGTAGGGATCATGCAGTTTTGAACTCACTCTCACATCACTTGGTGACGCAATATACCTGGGGACTCACTATGCTTGCAGGCAGCTTGATCTCTGGTCTTACTATTGCAGCATCATTTAATGGGGACGTCAGCATGTGGGATGTTAGTGGAGTAACTGCCATGGACAGAATCTTCACGGGTAAGTAAATTTACTCTGCACATCCCTTGTGAGAGAAGCCTTGCATGCTAACACTATCGTTTGATGAAAGGTGCTACTGCTTTCAATGTGCCACTAAATAATTGGGTAGTCTCAAACGTGAATACCTTGTTCGTTGCCTTTGATGGAGCGAGTGCCTTCAACAATGATTTAAATTCCTGGGGTAGGTGCACATGTGACAAGAATTCCGTTCAAAAGCAAAATCTCAACCATGCGAATCCTCATCAATGGCTATTCATTCTAGATACAAGCAGAGTTAGAAATATGAGAGCTGCATTTCGGTCTGCATCAGCGTTTGATGGTGACATTAGTGCCTGGGGTAAATATATTTTACCTTGGATGAAAAGTTCATCAACTGTTGTGTTTCTGATTCATTTCACCCCTCTCCATTGCAGATACAAGCAGAGTTTTAGACATGAGGTATATGTTTGAAAGCTGCAGCTCTTTCAACGGAGATCTCAGTTCATGGCGTAAGTTCAACACTGTCAATAACATTCACTTTATGGAATAGAATTGATGACACGGTACCCATTCTAACTTACACTATTGTTGTAACCACATTAGAAACAAGCCGTGTCACGGACATGCGGGCGATTTTTGATAAATGCACAGTGTTCAATTCTGATATTAGTGGTTGGGGTGAGTCCATCTCTTCTTTTGTATTCTATTTCTGAAGAGATCCAACCAACCTTGTGGTATTCTTCATCCAATTCCCCTTCACAGATGTCAGCAAGGTGAAAGAAATGGAAGCATCCTTTCGGCAATGCTTAGCTTTCAATATTGACCTATCAAGCTGGTAGGTTTCTTCATGTTTATTTGTCTCTAGATGGAGCCTGAGCTGTTGTTGTGATCAGAGAGACTCATTGGCATTTATTTCCTCCTGCTTTTCTATGTAGGGATATTTCTCCTGTAACGGACTATCAAAATATGTTCGATGGTGCTACAATCTTCACCCAGAATCTGTGTGCTTGGGGTAACAAGATAGATGGAGCTTCCAGTGGTTTTTTGGGTGGCATATTTTCAGGTACTGCTTGTCCTACTACGGGAAGCCCAGACCTGACAGCATCACCCAAAGGTCCCTTCTGTCATGCTTGTCCATAAAGAAAACTGAACATCTACTAAACGGATTCAGACAAGATGTGCTTGATGACTACCCACGAGCCCGGGCCCGGGTATTGTCATGCTTGTCCATAAAGCATCTTCACTCCGGATGGGCGAAGAAGTAGATCTTCACCTCAACAGTCTTGCTGCCAGAGCCCTCAACCCCTTTAATTCTGTTTCCTGCCTACAGCGGTCCCTGCAGGTATAAGGGTAGGGATAGAATAGAAATAAATCAGCGAAACCTAAAAAGGTATTACAGGGTGCTGCTTTTAATTTAAACAAGCTAAAGCTATTTACATGTATCCTAGGGTAAACTGCTTCTACAAGGAAACCCTAAAGACAGCGAAAGCTATAACTAGTATTCTAGCTAGCTAGGGTATCTGCTTCGTGTTGAGCAGCAGCACGCCTGGGGAACCCCCCGTCCGAGTTTCCGCGCCCCGCAGCGTGGAAACTTGAACCCTGATGGGTTCTCGCAACTATGACCCTAATCGTGGTTGCCGAGAGGACCATCTCACAATTTGCAAAATTAATTCCCACGCTTCTCACCTACAACTCAAGTACATCTCTACATCTCGCAGGTCATCACCTGCATTCCGGAAATGGATACCCCACATGATGATGCACCGCATCAGCTCCTCAATGCCTCTCGAACAAGATTACCCTTAAGGCAACCACACCCGTCCAAGACCACATTTGGCAAGATCGACAGCGGCAACCATGAATCACTAAAGCCAGCGACCTAGCCAAGATCAGCCATTGAACTGCCGATCGCAAGAAGATTGTCTCTCTCTCAGCTCACAATTCTTCATTCAGCCGACGCTGAAGGCAAGAACCTAGATTAGATTAATCTCTTGCGCCGGCATCAGGTTTCGTATCTTTTCGACCCTCACCATGGCCAGCTCTAATTTTTTGGATCTCGTCTCTGGTGCAGCGGAATGGGAGGTACATGCTCCAAACTACACTGATATCCTCACTTCTGTGGGTGGCGCCTCGAATGCAAATCGTGATGTTGCCTCTCGCGCTATGAGCCAATTTTGCCTTCGTTCGCCTGTTGCAATACACGGCTCTTAGCCTTATTTGCGACTCGATCCTAGATAGGGTTTGAGTTCGACTCATGACTGAGTCTCTCGTGAATAGTCATTTGAGACAGGGTTCTCAATGACCGCTCTAGTCATACTAGGTTGATGATGAAACATCGCTCTAGATATTTAGCCAGCGTGGAGTACTTCCACGTACTAGATCCATGCTAGACGAATCTTCCACGCGTTCCGTTTTAGGATCGTGGAGATCGTAGGATTACTACCGCAACCTACTCTATCACACTCTAACAGTCTCCCGCGGGAGTTCAGATCTACGATCCTTCGATTGTGGATCTCTCTCGTTGATTAGTTTTCATAGCTTTCTAATCTCTCTCATAACTTTCATTCTCTCAAACTCAAAACACTCGAAAGATCTTTACACTAGCTTTTAGCGTAGTGCATTTTTGTTAACAAACACAATAGCTTTCAGCTACCCTCAACCTATTCCTTCACCATGAAGATGGCTCAAGGAAAGCATGCGTTCAGCAACTTCGGAAACAGTTGCGTGACAAACCCATTCTTCCTCTCGTCGACAATGACGAAGACACGAGATCGACGATACTCGTGCAACCACTTGCAACTTCGAAACCATGTTGCCAAGCGCAAATCAGAAGACTCTGACAATGAGGACAACTCCTCTATCGATTTCAATCACTTGGATGGAAAAATCTCTATCTGAGGATTAGGCCAGGATGATCACTCAACGGAACCATGTTCCGATTTCTCATACAAAAGTGATGAAGATATCTCACTAACTAGTAAACAAGAAATGTTTGCAACGATGAACTCTACGGCAAATAGATGATTGCCTAAAAGCTGCTCAACTAGACTCTGATGATCTATTAGCATCGTTAACCTCGTCCGTGGCCAACCACCTCGTAAACGTCGAAGACAAGAGACCTCAAACCCATCGTCTATGTTAGATTTAACAAGCGAGAAAAAGGGAAACCGAAAACCCGTTACACTCCGTTGCTTACTGGATACAGGAGCATCCGGAACCTTGATTGCTCAACCTCATGCTAAGAAATTACGCATGAAGGATCTTGGGGGCGTCCAAACGATGTGGACTACCCTGCAGGAGAATTAAACACCAGCACGAAGTGCAAAGGTGCATTTATGATTCCTGAATTCCACGAAGATAAATTATCGATGGGATTTACACGTCACCAAGAGCTTGGGGGCGAATGACTAGATCATAGTCAGACATTCTCTCTGATCTAGGATTCAAGTTCGATTTCACTACATGTCAGTGGAATGGGATGGCGCATCTATTCTATGAAAGAAAGCGACACCAATGAAGAAGAGAACTTCTTCATCCGATCCTACTGCTGTTGATGACAGTGCAGATCGTCTCAGAAGATTCTTGATGCGAAATAGAACAAGCTGACTTAAGGCGGTTTGCCAAAGTCAAAAACAGTTGAATAAGGAAGAGCAGGAACAGCTTCATTCCTTATTAACGAAGTAACCTGACCTATTCGATGGCACTAGGAAAGTGGCAGATGGACGACTACGAAGTAGAACTCTCCCCTGACGCTAAACCCTATCACGCTAGGGCTTATCCTATTCACGTGTCCATACCAACACTCTTAAGATGGAGGTTGAACGTCTCTGCGAAGCAGGAATACTCAAGAAGGTGAACCTTTCCGATGGGCGGCACCAACTTTCATCATTCCCAAAAAAGGATGGATCTGTACGATTCATCTCTGATTTCCGGGAACTAAACAAAAGGATTAAGCGGAAGCCTTATCCTATCCCAAAATACAGGACATGCTCTTGAACCTAGACGGATTCAAGTACGCCACAGTCTAAGACCTGAACATGGGAACTATCACAATCGAGCTGTCACCTCACTCGAAGCACTCTGTACTATCGTACTCCGGGGGAAAGTACGAATACCAGAGGTTGCCAATGGGCCTATGCAATAGTCCCGACATCTTCCAAGAGAAGATGGGAAACTAATGCACGACCTAGAATTCGTCCTTGCATACATTGATGATCTACTCATCCTAACAACGGCGATCTGGCAGATCACGTTGAAAAGTTGGATGAATTCTCCGAAGGCTTCGAGAAGCCGGACTTAAGATCAATGCTACAAGTCCTTCTTCGCAAGAGAGAACTGAATACTTAGGTTACTGGATTACTCGAGAAGGGATCCAACCTATAACCAAGAAAATAGATGCGATCTAGAATATCGCTCCTCTACAACAGAAAAGAACTCGTAGATTCATTGGACTAGTGAACTACTATCAAGACATGTGGATTAGACGATCACAGTACTGGCTCACTCGCTTCATTGACTTCCAAAACAACGAAGTGAAATGGAAGCCGAACACGAAAGGCCTTTAGCCAGATGAAGAAGATATAAGCAAAGAAACCTTGCTCGCTTACCCTTACTTCAACGATACATTGTTATTCACACGGATGCGAGTGATACTCAACTAGTTGAGTAATTTCCCAGAAGGGAAAACCTATTGCGTTCTATAGCAGGAAGCTCAACCTACTCAGACACGTTACACAATTACGAGAAGGACTTCTCAGTATCGTAGAAACTCTAAAGGTTCTGTAACATTCTTCTAGACAGAAATTGTTGTACATTCGGACCACAAGAACTTACATGTAAGAACTTCAATACCGATCGCGTAATGCGATGGCACCTTACATCTAAGAAGCGCATAATGGGGTCTCGCGAAAACAGCGAGGTCTGGAAGGTACCGAACGACATGCGTCCTAGGCGATTGGTGACGTATTGCTCCCGGATTTGGATGGTGTTTGTTGTGGACAATGTACTGGGTTCTCCATGGGTGTGGCAGTATGCACGTTTTGGAACCCTGCATGCATCCTAAATTCCCAACTAAAGGTACCGACTAATTTTGTGGTCCCGTTTTGTCCCCTATGCCATACCAATGAACATGGAAACTACATCAGAATCCGGTACAGAGCGTTTTGGGGTTAGCTTTTGGTAACCACACTCACATTTTGTATAGGTCGTTAGACTTTGCCTAAGGTATTAGTTCTTATACGGCTAAAGCGTCGGCAATACTACTAGCTAGCTACTCTACTAGTTGTATCATGGTTTATTGGTATTGCGACTACGTTAAAGCTTGGTTTGAAAGCAAGAGGGAACTAAGTGCTCACACCAACAATCTCGGAGTTGCATTGCAGACAAGGCAGATTTCCCTTGGCATTGGCAAAGCAACAAAGAAGTACTAGTACTAGAGAAAAAGGACATGACTACTGCAGGGCTTGGTGCCACTGACACTGAAAGACCCGCTAAGAGCACCACGGCAAGTTAGAAATCTGCAGGAGAGGAGAGAGGCACATCAAGTCAAATGCCAGCCATTCCACAAAGACATGGTGGAGGAAGATCAAATTGCTTGGCCATG